CAACAAGAACAAGTCTAACACTGGGGGAAGGACCATTATAGAAAGAACCCAAGGGATTCCCTATAGTGCCTCCTAACCCAACCATAACCTGTGGTAAAGGTAAAGGGAATCCACAGCATCCCTGTCCACACAGGACCTCCATCAGTACCGATCCCTGAGCCCTGAAAGTTCAGTTCCTTCTACCAGGTAATGAGAGTTCTGACAGCTTACATGCAATACCAACTCCAGCCTAAGGACCTTCTATAACAGCGAGGACTGTATTTGTGCATAGTTTCTTCCTTACATTGTTAATAGATTTTATTTCCAGATCCTCCCATTATTTTATATACAGCTTGTTTTTGGTAAAAAGTTTATAGTTCACTCCATGTTGTTGTTAAGTGACATCCAGTTGGTTCTGACTCATAGCATATAGAGTTTTCAGGGCTGTAGATCTGTGACAGCAGAAAGCCTCACCATTCTCCCATGGTGGGCTTGAACCTCTAACCTTGTGGTTCACAATCCCTTGCTATTCTTCATAGCTACTGCACTCCAGATTCACTCCATGTTGTTGTTGTTGTTAAGTGCCGTCGAGTTGGTTCTGACCCATGGCAACCCTGAATAGGGTTTCCGAGGGGCAGCTGGTGAACTTGAACCACCAACCTTGCAGTTAGAACTGACTTTGTAGTCTAGTGCATTCACACACAGCACCACACCAAGACTCCAGACTCATTCTATAGGAAACAGCATTTGAAGGTGACATTGTGTCAGGACTAGAACAAGAATGAACATTGCTCAGAAAAAGTGGACTTGGAGCTGGATGAATAACTGAGGAGAACTTAGAGCTCTCTGCTACTGGGGTCCTGGTGTGGCACTGTAGGACAAGCCCTGGGTTCCTGGCTCAAACCCATAAGCTTCTGCTTGAAATCCTATACAGAATCGCTATGAATCGGAACCAATTTGGTGACAAGTTAACAACAACTTCTGGGGTTAGGATGACTATTTTCTACTCTGTGTGAGGAAGAGTTGTTATGTTAGGCGTTAGGATTTTTTGTAAAGTGCAAGGATAGAAAATCGGGTGTGCAAGTGTGTTAGAAGCAAAAGAAGGAAACTGTAACAGATTTACACTATGTTAGGGGGCTTCCCAGCACTTGAACTCCTTTGAAATATTTTGGGAATGTTCTCATCTGGTGATGTAGAGGAGCCCACCCTTCCATAGAAGCTCAAAACACCTGCTTTTCCAGTCTTTCTTGCTTCTAGTTCAGGGGCAGATACCCAGTTGATGCTTGTGTTCTGACCTTTGTATTGGGAGCAGTGACACGGACAATTCATTTTGGTAGTAGTGGTTGCAGCAGAAGGAATAGCTGGCTTGTGGGGATAGTTTCGCACACTGTGTTCTGCAGCAGAGCAGCAGTGCCCCCCTTGCTGGCGATGGATATCCTCCACTGTCCTGGCTGATGCTCCCCAGTGTTCTCACCTGCTTCCTAAACTGCTTCTCCAGCTTTCTAAGTGCGTCTGTGAACCCCCATGCCTTTTTAGTAAAACCATTTACTCTTCAACCAAATAGTAGTCGTTATTGCTTGTAATAAAAGTCTGATGCAACCTACAATGGTTTTCTTCCTTCCTTTCTATCTGTCTCTTCCTCCCTCCCTCTCTTCCTTTTTCTCTCTCTTTTGGGAGAATATATGCATCAAAGACTAATATAATTTAAAAAGCATACATATGTAAACATACATAAAATACGTATATGTTGTTGTCAGGTGCCATCGAGTCAGAACCAACATAGCAACCCCATGCACAGCAGAATGAAACAATGTCCGATCCTGGGCCAATCTCACTACCGCTGCCACACTTGACGCCATCAATGATGCCACCTGGCTGATCCATCTCGTTGGGGGTCTTCCTCTTTTTCTCTGACCCTCCACCTTACCCAGCATGATATCCTTCTCCAGCAACTGTTCCCTCCTGACAATATGTCCAGAGTATGAGAGACAAAGCGTAGCCATCCTGGCCTCCAAGGAGCACTCTGGCTGCACTTCTTCCAAAACAGATCTATTGGTTCTTCTGGCACTCCATGGCACTTTCAGTATTCTCCTCCAACACCACAACTCAAAGGCATCAATTCTTCTATGATCTTCCTTATTCACTGTCCAGCTTTCACATCCATATGAGGCTATTGAAAACACCATGGCTTGGTTCAGGCGCACCTTAGTCCTCAAGCTGACATCTCTGCTCTTCAACACTTTAAAAAAAGTTCCTGTGCAGCAGATTTGCCCAATGCAATACGTCATCTGATCTCTTGACTGCTGCTTCCATGAGTGTTGATAGTTGATTCAAGAAGAATGAAGTCCTTGACAACGTCAATCTTTTCTCCATCGATAAGAATGTTGTTTATTGGTCCAGTGGTGAGGATTTTTGTTTTTCTGACATTGAGATGCAACCCATACTGAAGGCTGTGCTCTTTGATCTTCATCAGTAAATGTTTCAAGTCCTCTTCACTTTCAGCAAGCAAGGTTGTATCATATACACATATAAATATAAAAGCAAATGTGACAAAGTATTAACTTTTTGAAATTATGTGTAGTAGAAATGTGGATTATTTTTGTATTTTGTATTTTTCAATTTTATCAGAGTATTCTAGAAAAATATAAACACGTGGAACTGTATGTGTATGGATATGTTCTAATCACTTGATCTATACCATCCAATTTACTCTTCATAACAACCTTCTGAAGTAGAAATTGTTATGAACAGTCTCATTTTACCCATAAGAAAACTGACGCACAGGAAACCTGAAACCTAAGAGAATTACCCAAGATGACACAGCTTTTAAAGAGCAGAGCTAGAAATCAAACACTGGAGGTGCATTTTCAGTGCAGATGAAATAGTAAGTAACTTAAGGGGGAGACAGAAGGCAAAGAAGGAAATCCGCTGATTTATGAGTTGAGGATAAGGAGCAAGTGAAAAATGGAGGTGACAACATAGGAAAGGTAGATGGTGTTGTCGCTGAGCTTCACCAGGTACAAGAGAGAGGAATAGGACCTCCTTGTCTGAGACTGGAGAAAAGGAGGAAAAGGGTCCGTTGACTGGTTTTGATTAGTGTAATCTCACTTCTCTGGGAAATAGAAAGAAAGATCCCCTGTAGGAGACTGCGAAAGTGACATGCAAATCACAGCTGGTCCAGGTGGCATCATGAGTGAGCACTGTGGTCTTGTTGTGTAGGTGACTGGTTGGGGTTGAGGGTGTTCCTACAGGGAACAAGAGAAATGAGGTAAGGTAAGCTGGTGCATCAGCTGGCCTTGGTCTCTTCTGTTCAAACCTACTGCATTTTCAACAGACGCAGTGGCGGATTGCCCCTGAGATAGAGCCAGATCTCATGAGATTCCCCACATGTGGGTGAGATTAAGGAGCATAGGGCAGTTATCTTGGTACACTAGGTCCTTTGGAGCAAAAGACAAAGTTTTACAGTGATTGGACAGCAGGAAAGCATAACTGTTATCTGTCCCTGCTGGACATAGATGAAATAGTCAGTCACAGGCTCCTCCTTCCTCCAGAGAGGGTGTGTGTGTGTGTGTGTGTGTGTGTGTGTGTGTGCATGCGCGCGCCTGTTTGTATGAGAGAGAGATAGAGAGCTTGTGTGCTGGCTACCTACCAGCAGTCCCCCCTGTGGACCGGTGCTGGTTTTGCCTGTATGCCCAGCTCCCCCTGCTGCCTTCATTCGTAGCATCTGCATGAAGCCCTCTCCAGCTGCCAGAGCTGGACAACCCCAGCAAAGCTGACCTCTCTGCAGAACTTGTCTAACCACCCTCCAGGATTGCCAAACTGCCTCCCTTATCTCTCCAGGGTCTCTCCTAAACTCTCATGGCCAGCATCTGTTTGACCATGATGTGAAGTGACCAGACTCCACTATGCACTGACCTCTCCATTTCTGGGAGAACTTCTATCATTTGCTCAGCATCTGCAAACCAGGCTGGTTCTCTGCATCCTTTGAATGGCTTGTCTTCTGCAACTGCAGGTAAGAAAGGTCCTCCCAAGACTTGTGTTGGGGGCGTTGTAGGTATGGGGCCATTGTGAATATAGTGTCAAAGGGATATTAGCAGTTTCTAGCTACTTAGGAGAAGGATATTTCAGAATGCTGGAAGTCACCTGCTACTTGAAAATTTCAGTCTTCATGCTGTCCATGCTGGGGCTGTTCAAAGCCCAATGATCGTCAACTCCTCTTCTGGTTAGGGTAGCTTAGACTCAGGAGCTTTATTTTACAGAATCTTCCTCTTTGTCATTATTACTACTATTTATTCTTTTCTTCATTGATGTTTTCATCTAGTAAATATTCTACATGCTTTAATAAAAACTAACAAATATTGATCATATTTATTGACCGCAAGGTTGACGGTTCAAGCTCACCAGCTGCTTCTCAGAAACTCTGTACAGGGTTGTTATGGGTTGGAACTGACTCAATGGCACACAGCAACAACAACAACAATTGACTTGGAAGGTAGCAAGGTCTTCCTTGCAGGGGTTGTTCTGAGGACTAGAATTCAGCAGGTCCAGATGACCTTTAAGATCTTATCCTATCTTGGGGTGTTAATTAATCAATCAATGTATCGAGCAGGGCAGATTTAAAAGTTAGGAATGTATTCTCTCTCCCCTCAGCACCTCTAATGAAATTATTGGGAAGAAGCAGCAGTATTATTTCCTGTAATCAAAGGGCTTCCTTTGGCTTATTAGCAATTGTGGAAGCACTGGGATTCCCAGATTTGGGGGAGGTACTGTGTGGCAGAGAGGGGCTGGGTGGGAGCTAAGCAGACTTTCTGGAGAAGATGTAGTGGTAGTGGATGTGGGCCTTGGAGACGGTTCTGACTCACAGCGACCCTGCATAGGGTTTCTGAGGCTGTAAATCTTTACGGAAGCAGAAAGCCTATCTTTCTCCCATGGAACGGTTGGTAGTTTCGAACTGCTGACCTTGAGGTTAGCAGTCTGACTCATAACCACTAGTCTACCAGAATAGTGCTTGTGAAAACGCTATGACCTCGAGGTGAGTGAGATGTTGAAAACCAGCTACAATAACAAGATGGACAAAGAAGCAAGCCCAAATTACCCTTGACATCAATGAAACCAGGAGGTGGATGAGAGGCTGCAACCAGTTTAGGGAGGTGGAGATGGTGTCTGGGAGACCAACTCAGTAGGGATATTAGTCTCGGAATGCTCTACGTATGCAATATTCTTGTATAGGCTTCTCTGTACACCCCATCCACCCAGACTCACTTTGTACATAAGGACTCTTCCCTCTCTTCCCCCAGCCCCCAAACCGGCCAATTCAGCTACTTAGAGAATCAAAGAGTCCTGTCCAGGGCTCTTTCTCTTAATGTCTTTCTAACAAGAAGTGGAAGGTCACTTTAATTACTGTCAATAACCTGGAGCAATTTCTCCTTTGGTTTCTAACGACAAATTAATTAAATAACCATCACCGGCTAATTACAAGGGATGCAGATTTAAGGCATCTTGTAGGAACATGTCCTCTAGAGTCAAGTGAATCTCATTTGCATGTTTTTCAGAGGAATTTCCAGAGGTCTGAAGGTCCCTTATTGGATCTATATATGATGCAATTTTAGCATGCTCAAATTTCCATTATTCCTCCCCAATCCCACCCCCTGGTGTGGTACTACAGGATAAACACTACAGGATAAACACTGGACTGCTAACTGAAAGGTCAGTTGTTCAAACCCATCAGCAGCTCCTCAGAAACCCTATATTGGATTGCTGTAAGTTGGAACCAACTCAAGGGCACTTAACAACAATAGTCTCAAAATGGGAGAAATATTTATCTTTCTTTCATTTAATGTTGTTGTTATGTGCCCCTCAGTTGCTTTTGACTCATAGTGACCCTGTATAGGGTTTCTGAGGAGCAGTTGACTCAAACTGACCTTGCAGTCCAGCACATTATCCTGCAGTGCCACACCAGGCAAAGTCCCTAAAACACCGTGGCTGTGACTCAGCAGCTCTTTGGCACCTGGGACATAGGTGTTGCGAGCCCAGCTAGGGAGACGCTGCACAACCATTTTGCAGGATTTGGAGGGAGATGCTAGTTTACATGTATACAGAGCTGGAGTCCCTAGTAAAAGAGTGTCTGCATTATCCTCCAGCATACAATCTGTTGTTTGGACAGGTGCAGCTCTAGATGGGGTGTGTGTGTGTAGGGGGTTATCTATGGAGGAAGCAGCAAGGACCCCCTGCTCCATCCTTCAGGTGCCTCTGGAGACCCCATTCTGGGCGAGCCATGGGCTGTCTTCTCTTGGTGCCTAGCAGATGCTTCAGAGCATCTACTCTATAGGGACTGTGAGCTTTTTCCCTTCAGGACATAGCTCCCCGGTGGGCCTTAGGGGCCAGGAGGGGAAACATCAACAGTCCTGCTATGAGTGGAGCCTGGGGCAGAAGAATGGCACCCTGTGTGGCTGGTGTTAAGAAGCCATATTATCTTGAGGAAACAGAAGAGAAAATGTAATGATCGATATCTAATATGGCTTTCATTCAAATATTCAGGAAAATGGAAACAGGAGGGTCTTCTGCTCCAAGCAAACTCTGGATTGATGTTATTTTTAGTTGCTTCAACTCATGAAGACCCCATGTGTCTGCTTAGAATTGCTCCATCAAGTTTTTTTGTTTATTTGTTTTTGCTATAACCTTTTGGAAGCAGATAGCTAAACTTGTTTTCTAAGATGTCACTGTGTGAGTTTGAACCATCAACTTTTGCATAGTAATCGAGAGATTTAACTGTTTGCATCACCCAGGGATTTGACTCCAAACATATTCTGGAAAAGTCTATTTATTTTAATCAGTTTTATATTCTAGAAATTTCAACAAATTGAGATTCACATCGAATCCCTTCCATACCCTTTTTGTTTTCCAAAATGATGTTGGTTGGGTCATTTCACCCTAGTAACAGAGCAAACTCTGCACTTTTCAGCGCTCTGCAGCTCAGGGGCTCCTCTCACTGCTCCTGAGGGGTGGAAAGGGCACGATGATGGTGGTGATGATTGTGTGCCTACAAGTCAGTTCCAACTCACAGCAACCCTGTGGTCAGTCTTATGGGAGCAGAAAGTCTCATCGTTCTACCATGGAGCAGCTGGTAGATTTGAACTGCTCATTTTTCGATTAGTAGTCCAACTTGTAAGCTATCCTTATTTTATACAAATGACAAAATCCTAGCGGAACTGAGTGGCCTGCATACAGTTCATTAACAGTCAATGGTGGAGCTGAAATTCATAGCCACATTTGCAAACTCCAAGTCCAGTTCTCTTTGTCCTGCCATAGGAAGGTGGAAAGAGGTGGGCTACCAAGTGTGAGGGGTGGTGAAGTACCTAGAATGTCTGGAAGCATTGCTGAGAGCTGGGATAGGATAGACTGGGGAGATGCAAATAAGCCAGAAAGGTTTCATGGCTCCGTTAGTACTAGTTCTTTATTCCCTGTGTATTTATGATTTCTGTATTTAAAGAAATCTTATTCATACTATTTTTCTACTATTGTGTTAAAATGTTCCTATCACAAGCTTCACTATTAGTGATATTTGGTGGTTATATACCATGGAGTCAGTTCCAACTCACAGCACCCTTGCATAGGGTTTCCGAGGCTGTAAATTTTTACGGGAGTAGAAAGCCTCATCTTTCTCCCATGGAGCAGCTGGTAGTTTCGAACTGCTGACCTTGAGGTTCACAGCGTGATTCGTAACCACTATGCTGAGTGCATAATGTTGCGTAACTATCACCACTATCTATTTATAGAATGCTTCATCACCCCAAAAGGAAATCCATTAAAGCAGTTGTTCTCTACTCCCTACTCCTCTTAGCTTCTGACAACCACCAATCTGTTTTCTGTCTATTCAGGACATTTCACATAAAATGAACCATACAACATGTGGCCTGAAAATGAAGAAAAGTACAATCCCTCTAATCTCTGTGCTTAGAGACAGTACGAGTGATCAATAGGCACATAGAACAATAAAATCATAAGAGAAAAAGAGCAAAACAGTGATGATCGGTCCCTTGTTCTCAGGGGCATTTATGTTGTAGTATCTATCAGTGCTTCATTTCTTTTTAATGGGTGACTAATATTCCATTATAGTCATTCATGAGGGCTTAGAAAAGTTCTTGAAAAAATTCTATTATTGTTTCATTCCGTTTTTCTGCAAACTTTTGGAGGCCTCCTCTGATATCCCACTTTGTGTTTCTATTCAGCAGTTGATGGACACATGGGCCATTTTCACCTTTTGACTATTGTAAGTGGTGTCCTTCTTGTATTATTTGTTGTTGTCAAGTGCCATCAAGTCCCTGTGACCCTGTACAGGGTTTCCGAGGAGCAGCTGGTGGGTTTTACCCACGGACCTTGTGGTTCGCAGTCCAGTACTTATCCTATAGAGCCTCCCCAGGAGTCCCTTCTATTACTTGACCACCTGTAGTTGTTGTTAAATGTCATCAAGTTAGTTCCGACTCATCGCGACCCTATATAGGGTTTCTGAGGAGCGACTGGTGAGTTTGAACTGCTGACCTTGCAGTTGAGTGCTTATCCTACGGCACCACACCTGTAATTAGCTCCAAGTTATAGATGAGACATGGCCACAAGGACAATGGGCACATCAAGCCTATCCTGTGTCCTCCTTGTTGCCACAGGTCAGGGTTTGTATTCCGGGCTGAGTGGCTAGTGGGACTGTCTCCTCAGTCAAGCCAGAAACAGCTCAAGGGCCCTAACTTCCTGTGGGCCTGTTCAGAGCTGCTTGCTCACCTTTCACACTTCTGTGCAGCCGGAGTAACAAAACTCATTGCATAATCCTTAGAGCCGTTTCCCTGGTCTGCTCAGATTCAGTAGAGGTCGGGAGCTGCCGTGCCACCTACGTGAGGCCCAGCCACAGCATAACCCTGGCCAGTCTGTCCGCTGCACTCAGAAGCAGCCAGACCCGTGCTCCGAAGCCATGGGCCTCTGCCACCTCGCAACCCCAGCCAAGATAAGGCTCCGTGTGTGGTGGCTCCTACTGATCCCAGCAGGTAAGTGGGTGCAATCAGTAAGATGTAATTTCATACTCCTAAAGCTCACATGTTGTATGGAGGAAATCTCTGCTGATAGCATCATCACAGACAAAGCTACAGAGGACTTCAGAAGTCATCAGCCAAGTAGCTCCTTCTACAGTGAGAAGACCAGCTCTGACAATCAATAGATAGCAAGGTCACCTTGAACCTCTCCTAGCACCAGTGTTCCTCACCAAAATGCATACAATACTATCCACTGTTCAGAGCTATTGTGACGCAGAAAATAAATGCAAGTTTGTAAATAGCAATGGGTTAGGTGGTATCTGGGGTATAGAATGCACGCAGCACACTGTAACTATTGTGACTGACAAACTTTCTGTCACCACATAACAATGACATGTTTCTCTGAAGTTTAGAGCAGAGGTTCTCGACTTGCTCAGGCAGCAGAACCCCTGAAGTGGTGACGCTGTTTGCAGAGTGCCGTGAAATACATGGTGGTTCCACCAGAACAACTCACGGTCACAGTGACACAGCATTTGTCAGAGTAGAACTGTGCTCCAGAGGGTTTTCCTGGTTGATTTTTCAGCAGTAGAATGCCAGGCTCTCTTCCAAGGCACCATTTTGTGGACTCAAACATCCAACCTTTTGGTGAGCAGTCGAGCATGTCAACCAGAAGTAGCAAATGCCAGTGGTTTAAGAAAAAATAAAGGAAATATCCAAATGTTGCAAAAGATTTCCTGGTCTCAGAATCAGACATGCTATAACATTAGCGATTCATCGAAAGGCTCATTGTAACCAAGGCAGGTACAGATTCTGTGACAAGTCCTTTCTCTCTAGCTCACCCACACAGAGCAGGTGTCTTCCCTCTGCAATGTCCCCCAGATGCTCTTCAGTTAAGGTTCACTCTTGTCTGTACATCTGAATTCTTCCCCATTGCCTGTCTCTGCACCTCTCTGCAGTGCTTGTTTCCACTACTTCTTTTTTTTTTTTTAATTAAATGTTTTTATTTTGCATTGAGTGAAAGTTTACAGGGCACATCATCAGCTTCACATTCAACCATTCATATAGCTTGTTTCATTACATTGATTATTATCCCCGCTAT